TTGTTGGATACAAATATATGACGGGCCAATGCCTATATGACGGTCCAATGAGGGTTACTCCCGAATTACGCAACGCATAAGGCATAGTACAGGCTAATCTCGCAAATGAAATTATTTGCCGATCTTAATAGCTCACCTAGCCTTTCTATATTTCGTAATGTGTTCAATTTCATCATCTGTTACGATATAATAGCACCTGTACTTGAAATTAAGTAGAGAATGTAAAGCGTTATTTATTTATTTTATTTTCTTTATTTTTTTTTTAATTTTTTTTTTTTTTTTTTTTTTGGCATAGAACTCTACCTTCAATAATTATGAAGGTCAAAAAACTTTTGCAATATAACGGGCACTCTGCTTTACATACTGCACTACGAGTTATGCTTTGCTTGTAATCCAGTAGAAATTAGTTTATAAAACCACAATAATAATAATAATAACAACAACAATAATTTCAAAGCGACGGAAAATACAGTTAATTAGAAATAAGTGAGCACATTATAGAGGTAAATGTTATGTATGCACTATGTGTGAACTCTTGTATAACATATTTTCTACAACACATTAGCATTAATAATAGAAAAATGCATACATGCGCACGTCTAATATGGAATGTATGTACATGTACAAACCTGTTATCAGATGTAATTTAAACTTACCCCTCACGCCAACAGAGAAGAAAGGATCTATTGATAAGCTTCTCCTTATGTAATACCATGTTTTGGTAATGTAATAGAAACTTTGGTTGTCAAGCACCCGACAAATTTCATATAACCCCGTAAATGTTTAAAAAAATCATAGATAAATAAAATTTAACTGACTCAATCAATCAATCAATCAATATCTTTCATTTTACATATGTATTTAAAATTCTTTTTATACCAAGCAACAGATAAATACCCATCGCAGACCATATTAGAAAAGTAGAAAGTGACAAATGCGGCTCTCCACCTATATAATATGCAATCTCTGTACGCATTTTTGCCATTAATATTGGTGTAAATTTTCGTCAAGGGAAAGCTACTAAGTTATCGTCCATAGTGAACAAATTGTCATTGAAAGAGGGAGAGAGAGAAAGAGAGCATAAGCTTTTATCCTGCTTCTTCCTTTCCCAAGGAATATCGAAGCTGAATATATATGTGACTTCACCTAACTTGTGCCAATATCGTTCCAAAAAAAAAAAAAAAAAGGAAAAAAAAAAGTATTGTCGATTAGGATAATATTTCAAGTCGCTTTAGCAATATGCACCTTATCCATCAGTCTTTCACCTGTTGTTGGGAATCTTTTATGATGATTAAAGATTGATATGATTGCATATGAAAGCATACTTGTAAGACAAAAAAAAAAAAACCGATCTGTAGGTTAAAATCTACAGCAAATAAAAGCTGGAAAAATTGGTACCAATATTTACCGGTGCCGTTTAAAAGTTCAGGATAAAAGAGTTCTGCCGGTATGTTCTTAGTTGACGAAATCCTCACAGATTCGCTATAGAGTGAATTACTTTTTTTCTTTTTAAACGGGGCAGATTTACTAGGGCTGCTCTTCTTCTTGCACTACTCAGAACTATGCATAGATGCATCTTTTATATAAATATGTTAATGTGATCATAAAATAGTATATAGTGCGTTTCTCGATTCGACTTTTATATCTTTAGTCAAGTCAAAGCGAAGTTCCCGAAAAAATTTTTTTTTATATTGCGAAATAAGCCAGAAATCAGACGAAGTTAAATCAGGCGAAAAGGTGTGAGTCGCTTCGAAAGAACAATGCTATGTATGAAAGATGTTCGATCGGTAAGGTAAAGAGGCATTTGAAGTCCTCAACTAGTTTTTCAAATTCCGTTGAATAGCCAGACCGGTAGATTATGAGTAAGATGAGTTAGGCATTCATTGGCGTCAGCGCGTTCACCGCTTTGCTTGACTAATATTTACTCTGCAAAGGGCGTTATATCACCATAAGACTTTTTTCTCAATATCTCGGTCGCCATAATCAAAGTAAACTTTTTAAGAAAGACATTTTTTGATGGAACTTTATTGCTGAACTAGCTTGAAAGTTTGAGAGCAACAGAACTACTCGGTTAAAACGTAAAACGTAGAAATCTTATTGCTCTTTGATCACAGAACTACAGTTTATAATTACTTAGCGTGCCGTTCATGGACTTGTATATATTTTGGTGAACCAAAAGGAATTGCTATAGGTCATCCAGTTTCGTAAGAAATAAATGAGACAAACAAATGCTGTCCAATGCAACAAAAGGGTTAATATAACTACGATACTAGAATATTCAACAAAATCAAAAAGTTAAGCTTGCGCGCCACATACACCAAATACGCGTGAGTGAGATATCATAAGAAATTTTTATTGTCATAACCTCAATTTGAATTTTCATCCATTTTTCAAGGCAGCACCGTCTGTACTTTTTCACGCGATAAGGATTTTTACTTTACTACTACATTTATAATTATCTGAAAGCGGATCGTTGGAAAAGTTTTTCATTCCTTATAAGCATATCTTTTGCTTAATTTACGCCCGATTTAGGTGACACAATATATTTCAGATAATATATCTTTCGAGAAGTTTCAAAACGAACGCTCAAAACTCTTTGATTATATCCCTGCTGTAGATTAAGTTTGTGCGGATGCATGTATGCAGCAACCATATTGGAACTTAAAATATCGAAACCGAATCACTTTAAGCTTGCCTATCCATCTGTCTGCAATTTTAATATTTCGCGGCAAAACTTGGTCAACAAGAGCAACTTGATATAAATATGAACTATACAAAATTTGCACAAAGTAGTACAATTTTTTTTGACCCCCCGCCCTCTACATAAGGATTATCGCGAGAATTATTTTTAAAATTTTATACGGCAATAAAATCAAATAAAAGATTTTTGGTGCAAGAAAATTAAACATGAAACGCTCCCATGAAAACTAGTTCAGTCGTAATTACTTGTATAAAGAAAGAAAACACAAAAATTTGATTACGATTTAACTAACTAATTAATTAACTAACTGTGTCGATCGTTTCAGAAAATGTACATTTACGTTGCATCGTAAACATTTAATAATAACGAGTATACTCGGCATACGCAGAGTATGCGAAATCAGACTATAAGGAAATAACCTGGACAAAATGACGAAATACACATTTTAAGAGAAAAAGCCGAAAAGGACGTATGAGCTGACTGATCATGACCGTACATATTGATTATACAGAAAATTTTGTACTTTTCTCATGACATATTTATTCGTCTAAACACAGTTAATTGGTTAAGAGGCGTAATAAAAAATTCCATTTCATCCCTAACCTAATATAGATTAAGCGAGGGGATGGATATTGAAAAGTTGAGAAATTTATTATTGTAAAAATGGGACGAGCGCAATAGATGCATTAACAGATATCTCATAACACTTTTGTACGTATTGGCCAATATTTAAGTAATATTTTATAAGTTTTGTACATTCATGTCTTCAGTTTCCTGAAGCTAGATGTGAAGGAACTTAGGATGGATGTAATTTATTTTGATAAGTTTGTTTGCCTTATCGCTAATCAAACTGTTTGCCACCGCTTGATGGCATATTAATGATCTTTCAACGAATTTGGTTTTACCTGTTCTTGTTCCCGGAAGTGCCGTAAATAAGAACGAAACTGAGAACTGGGAGGAATTTGCACTCTTTTTGAAATAAAAATTAACCTTTACCTTGTCGCGAAGCCATACTAGAAATGATATTTCGTTGACGTTTACATGCAAGTGTTCGGTGCACACGGGCTCTTAAGCGAGAATTTTATGATATCCACAAATATTTGCATGCGGTATATTTATTATAAGGCGTTTAGTTTAGATGCAGATGCTGTTCTCTGCCGCTTTTTAAGGTTCGAATAGCCGTCTGTTGTAGAGATTGAAATTATCATTCTACTTAGCCACGGATAACACGGGACATTGATATTAAAATTTTACTGAAAACATTATGCACTATTTATACATCAGGTATGATTTAAAAAAAAATAAAAAAATTTTTTTTTTGCTCAAATTCCATCTACGTCTACTATCGCACTCTGAATGCTCTGAATTGATGTGATCGAGTATAGTGCATATGCTTAAGATAACTTACGAATTGGCGTAGATCGGGAGTTTTGTTTGTTTTATGCTTTCTAAAATAGATTTATGTTGTTGCTGTTGTTATTGTTGTTTTTCTTGTTGTTGTTGTTGTTGTTGTTGTTGTTGTTGCTGATGCTGATGATATATTCATTTTCATTTCGATTATATATTATTGAAAACAGCCTTTTGCTTAGATAGCATCAATTTGAAATTCTATCGGTTGTTAATCACTACCTAATCGTTTTGACCGCAATGAAACTAAAAGGTATTGCACCGATTTTTATTATAAAATTTGGTTTCGTTTTTAGTTTTGCAATTAAAATATATATTGGTTGTGTGTGTGTATGTACATATATTTATTCTTCAAATATATTTTCCACATTTTAACACCATTTTTTTCCCAGATCCAAGTCTAAGTAGAAGACTTTTTTCAATAAAATATTCTTTTTAATGGATTATGTATGTTGTTTGCATGTATGTAATATGCATAGATATCATTCATCACTTAGTTTAGAGGGGATGCATTAAAATTGATTGAATTATATATATATATATATATATATATACATATATATATATTATATATATGTGAAGAAATATTCATATGCAAATTCCTTTGAATATCAAGAGTTAAGATAGCGAACATGTGTATAGCGCATCATCATCATCATCATCATCATCGTCACCATTATCATCATTTTTATTACATTCAATTATTTTAAATTTATAGCATGTACTTACCTTTCAATTGCTTATCGCATTATAAATACATAATACATTTGTAAAAGTCATAATCTCTTTTTCTCTCTTTCTCTCTCTCTCTCTCTCTCTCTCTCTCTCTCTCTCTTTTCACGTATTATTTTTGCTTTGTTTGGTTGGCAAGAAAATCCATATTTTGCTAACATTTTTATGGATAACTATGGGCGGAACTCTAGAAGAGTATAGCGGCATCGATGTAGGTGATGATACGTTAGATGCATTTCATGTATTCGGCAGAAGACTCAGGCAGCTTAAGCGACGCTCTACGAATCAGGAGAAACGAGATTTAAGCTTAAGCTATTCGGCGACCAACATTGATTCGAAAGAAGGTACACGCGTCAAGACAATAACTGTTATCAAAAATTTAAGTAAGAAACCGGGAAAATTAATTATTGATCCGAAATTGCATAAAAACGAAGGATGGGCTAATGCTTTTCGCGATAATTTCGATACATTTGGCAAAATACCGGATATACCGGATGTCGACGATCTATTCGCATTTGTTAACAATAAACGTAATAACGCTGAAAACAAAAGACAAGAAAAGAATAATATCGCAAAAGATGAATCGATTGAAAAAATGAATACCAAAGATGAAAATGCTGATTTAAATTCGAAACAAGAAGAAGAAGAAAAAGTAGAAGAAATAGAAGAAGTTAAAAATGCTGAGAAAACTATAAATGCTGGCGAAATGAAGAACACAGACGAAAATAAAGAAGACACATCTGCTATACCGCCCACAGAAGACAAGGTAAACGTAGAAAAGGCAAAGCCTGTCGAAGAAGTATCAAGTGAATATGAATCCATAAAAAATGCACAGAATGATAAAACAAAAGTCGAAACTGAATTATTACCGAGTAGCAGTAATTTACATAATCGCGTACGCTCGCAACTATTGACTTCGATACCATATAATAATAATGAATATAAAAATCCTTTACATACAAATATAAATTATTCAAGACCGTATCAACAGGCGATTCAACAGTATTTTGATAATCGCGTACATCCCATAATAAACGATGGATATTTATATACAAATCTTTATGATAATAGTTCACCTGTGGATAGCATTACTGTAACAACGCCATCTGGACGCAAGTACTATATATCCGCTAACAGTAACAGTAATTCTAAATCGAACAATACGCGGTATTTAGCACCATCAAAAAAGAAAACACCATCAACACAAACGCAAATTCCGCCATCGTCATTATCATCATCATCATCATCATCATCATCGTCGTCGTCGTCACCACCGACAAATGTGCAAACTTTTCCAATTAATTCTTTGGTGCCATCAGTTCAATTAGGTCAGAATGTCTTTTCAAATCTACCGCAGCCATACAATTCTTTTCCATTAAATCAAAGAGTTCCCCAACAGCAATCAACAAATGATGCGTTCCTTACGTTAAATCCTGCAAATTCGACATCTACCCTGCAATCTGCAATATTATTGTTAGGACAACAGCAACAGTCTCAACAGCAACAGTCTGAACAAAAACAACAACAACAACAACAACAACAATATCAATCACAACAGCAGAGTCAACTACAGACATTTAGTAGTACAAGTCAACGTCCATATATGGCACCGAATTTACGTACCGGTCTTGGTGGTGTTAGCCGGGGATCGCCCGTTGTGCGTACGAATGCGTTTGGGAAACCAAATGCTGGCCGATCTCGTGGTTTAAAATATTAAGATTATATATGTTTTTGATAAGCAATAAGGAAAAAATTTTCCTTTAATTAAATTAGATGAATAAGCACACGAATGATATTAATTATTATTAATTAATTACTTAACTAATTACTATTTGTTTCGCGCATACAAGCGAAGAGAAAACGAAAACAACTTTTCATTTCATTTATTCGAAATTCAATTATAATTATTGCAATCATATATATACATATATATATGTATGTTATGTATATTCTTCTACTGGATAAACTTTAATGATTTTTTTTGGTTTTTTTTTTTTTTGTTTATCTAAATAATGAACACTCGCACATCTATCTATGGGCGAATACTCAAACTAACCTAATGCAAGATATACTAATGCTAATGCCAATAATAAACGGGCCTCTCTCTCCTTCTAACACTCTCCCCTCTCTCGACATTTAATGCGTGTTATTGCTAAATGAGAAATAATCGTAAGTGTGCTTTACCTGTCTCTAAATATTACTTCAATACTCCATTACTCCATTTAATAAAAGATATTAAAATTGCGATCAATTATCTGATATTTTATTCCA